CTTTGGAAATGATCATGCAGACAATGGACTCTGGACTAGGTGCGTTCCTCTAAGTCTTTCTACCAATATGGAAATGTTGCTAAAACAAGGTCAAACAACCTTTAGCAATATCTCTTTATTAAGGCCCTTTATACTTGGCTAGGAAAGTTTATGGCTTTTACTAAGACCTGAGTGGAAACATTTAAAGGTTTTCTGGACAAGTTAACTATTTTCTGGAAAAGGTATCTTATAAAATTTAATTACTTTAGATGCTACCCTTTTATCCCTTCTTATGCTGATTCTTATACCCAAATTCTTAAATTCCTTATCACCGTTATTTCTTACCTGCTTAAAAACTATATCATACAACTTAGCCCACATTATATCGGAAGCAAAACAGTTATAGAAACAGAATAGAGAAGTTGCCCCATGTATTTGATAGCATTACGTTTTATATTACCCATTTGAGATTATGCATTGGTTCAAGCTTGGAGCTGACCAAAGCTAGCAAATTTTTAAATAGAAATTCGGTGGAGTCACAACTAGGGTATATGTGTAGCCAACAACGTAGTTGGTACTGAGCCTTTTAAGGAGCTAGAAATTCTCTGGAAATTCCTTCCACTTAAGCTCTAGAAGCTTAAATATGAGTTTTCAGCACCTAGACAACCAAGGTGAACTAAGATGTTTATGTCTTACTTAGAATTTACTGCTAATTTAAATGTAATACATTAAGTTTTGTATCCAGGTGTGGCATTTTATTCTTATTTTACAGATTCTATAGGGCCAATAGTATTAATGACACAAATTCATATTAGAACCAAATGAGAAAATTTGAGGAAGTTTAACAATATAAATGATTCATCAGATACATGCTTAGCTCAGGTTCAGCGAGCGCGAAGATAGGTGTTTAAGGAGAGAAGATGCCAAAAGATTCCAATATAAATAGCTTTTCGAAAGAGCAAAGCTAACTAATAAAACAGTCGGATTGGAATAAGCTAAGAGGTCATTTATGGAATCCCACTCAAGAAATAATTATTACACCATTTATAGTCTAAGTTGCTTCTTCAGAACCCTGCTTCGCATAATAATATTTATTTAGTTAAAAAAATTTCCAGGCCATGTATAAAATACTAGAAATACTTCTTTATTTGAGGTAGGGGTTGCTTCAGTAAGGCTCACTCTCCTTCTCAGCATATTCGCAGTTTTCTTAGAGTAAAATAGGCTTTCAGCTTTTACTTAGATATTTAGTATAGGGATGATGAGAAAGAATTTCACGCTTTTTCGAATTTTGCTGCCGAATTATAATTGACCATTCCCATAAGAATACTGACCAGAAAATTTAACTATAGACAGATGCCAGGCCAAAAACCTAATTTTTGTTGTCTCACGATCAAGTTGAATGAGTATGGACAATGCATTTTTGAAGGAAGTGATTAGGGTGGAGTAAGTCAAAAGTTTTAGGTCGACTATACAAGAGGAATGGCTAGGTTCTCTTTTATCTTGCCATCTGATATATACCTCAGGGAATGGGTTGCCTTAGGAATGGAACTAGCGTTGTATGGGAGAAGAAAATGCAAACTGGCCGCCTGCGGTTTTTACAAAGGGCTTTAGGGACCTATGAATCAAAATTCAAGTTTTCTCGACTGGCGCGTTAATGGAAGTGAAACTGTAAATACACATTTTTAGTGAGGTACAGAAAGGCGATTGGGTTACCTCGTTCCAGGAAAAGATAGGAAACCAAATAGAAGGAGGAAGGGGATTTTAGCTGAGTCAAAGAGAGGGAATTGGCGTTTGGGCTAATTTAGGAGGTTAGATCGGAGCAGCAGATTATGGGAGAAACCATAAGTTTGAAGCATTCTCATTGCATATTATAGATAGTATCTTACTGCCGTCATAATTTTCTTACAACAGCTACGGTTACTTTTAGACAAAGCAGTTCTTGTAGGGATCAGTAGTGAAGGTACTTGAGCTGTCACTTTGCTCCGCCGAGCTTGAGGAACATTCATCTATAGGCTGAGTATCCTGGATTGTGTTTTGGCCAGGGCGACTGTGTGTCGAATGACGCCCAGTTATATTTGAGCAAGTAGTGGCGGGGGTTGTAAAGCTGACACAGGCTGGACTCAGCAACAAGGAACCAGGTGACAGGGTTTGTACTTCGGGCAAATCAATAAGAGGCCGTTTTGGCGTGGAAGGGTTTGCTGACCAAGCGGCACTAATGTAGAAAGGCGAGGCTACCAAATGAAGGAAGAAAGCACATATAAAGTAGCTATCTTAAAACCACATATAATAGTAAAAGAAAAATATTAAGCATCAGATTTTACATTAATACCTGATTGCA